AAATATATATATATATATATATATATAAAATTTGGACTCAAGGATCGGTCTAAGTATGAAAGGTAGATTCGCCGCGTACGTTAATCAAAGAAAAATTTCAATACGTGCGTTTGACATGCTGGACATAATTATCCTCCCACTATCATATTAATATTATATAAAAGTAATATTAGTATTTAATAGTACTAAGACATCTGTGCTGTACTCCTTATTTGCCTCTTCAATTCTTACTGTTAGTTATTCTAAAAAGGAGCTTTCTATAATTTCTGTTTACAGAAAAATTATTTCTATTTTAAGATTTTATAAGTGTTTTATTAAAAAGTCAGTGATATTTTATGATTAGATACAATAAACAATCATTGAACTAGAAAGATAATCTCATAAATTTTGTAATAATAACTTTGAACTCTCTCTATACTGTTGTGACATGTATAACACAATACTACTTATGCTTCTATACTCTTGCGTAAGTCACGTTATAGCTATGTGACGGACTCGCAACGCGTGACAACTAATTCCATTTATTTGGAGTTATTTGGTATGAAAGATATTACATTTATAAATTATGTTTCACCAACTGTTAACTGAGTGCAGGAAAAACTAGCTAAACTTATATTTCTTGACTAAAGAAATATTGCCAAAATTCAAAAGACTAAACGGATTGATAAAAATAAAGACAAGAAGAAATGACAAAACTTAATTTTGAAAAAGAGTTTGTAGATACTACATGCGATATTTCTATCATAAACTATTTTGTACACCTAACATACAACCTATATTACAGAGAAGAATATGTCTTTATTACGTGATATATAAAATTTGTGATAATTGACCTGTGTGGCTTTTAGACCTGGTCTTCCTTAAAATTTTAGAGGAACAATCGATCAAGGCTTCTTATTAATTTGTGAGACCCCGGAAAAATATACGTATAAAGTGTTGACATACCTGAAAATATATGTGCATACATATATATATATATATATATATATATATATATGTGTGTGTAAATAAAATATGTGCATGACGAGTAAACCGATGAAGTCTGTCAGACCTCAATTATTATCAGACCCGACGAAAGTAAATGTCACCCGTTATTTTTTCAAACAACAAATCTCTCACGTTAGTGACTTCTACATTTCCATCGTATCATTATTATGGCATAATTATTTTAGTCGGAAACTACGAGCAAACACGCGATGATTTTCCCAAGTCGCGCGGTGCTTAACACAAGAATAAATTCCAAAGTTTTGAGAGGAACCTTCTGGCTTTACCGCCTAAATCTGCGCCGCGATTCTCCTCCTTTGTCCATTTCTTCCTTTCTCTTTCTCTTTCTTTCTCATGTTCTCTCTTACTCCACAGTTCATTCTTCTTCGTTTTTCTCGATATAAACGCCAAACCGTAGTTCTGACAGTTAACCCCTAGACAATCGCGATGTTTGTGTGCCGGTCGGCCTGTTGTTGGGAAGCGTATAAACTGATAAATCGATAGATTTGTAAATCGTGACAAAACTAGTGATATGGGGATAGTTCGAGTAGATGAGACACGAATATATTCCATATTTTCGAATTATATTTACAGTATCACATTAAATTCCATTGCATTGCATTATACACGCATTATACAATGTCGTTGCATTGTGCATCTTACAATAAATGGATTTGCTATTATATATATATTTTTTTATATCGCAACCACGGTATCGGATACCGTGGCAAAATATGTGTATGAAAAATAAATCGGATTATATAGATGCTTGTGATCAAAGCAATGAGATTTTAATATCATATGGAAAATAACGAAACTCGCTTTTCCCACGCATTTTCCTCTTTGGTTAACGGAATTATTATCGCGGAACAATTATTTTGCTTCAACGCTCGCGGACAACCGCTCTCAACAGTTTCTTTCAGATCGTCTGCAAACTAAATTTGCAAGCTTCGATGGAAATACCACGTCGTACTTTTTCCTCCGCCAATTTCTACATTCTTCTGGCGGAAGTCCGTAAAGGGAAAAGACAGAGAAAGAGAGAGAGAGAGAGAGAGAGGAGAGAGAGAGAGAAAGAGAAACTCAATTATTAAATCGCACACAAATAATGCATTTAATATATAATACATCTACGTTGTAATCTAATGATGAAACTTTCTTCTCTCGCTGTAACATTTTTACAATAGATTGATAATGTGGCGAATCTGTTCCACTTAATTAGGAAATTGCAGCTTGAAAATGAATGAATCACTTTGAAGAGACAAAGAGTCCCGCTATAAAAGTTTCCGCAGATTTAACGCGAAAAGTTTTAATATTTACAAGATTTCACTTCGACTAGTAAAAATTACACGCCCGTGTACAGCAGAAGCCACGAGCGCGTCGATTTTTCTGCGTTCGAAAAGGAATAGAGAAGCGCGAGCGAGCTTCGTTCCCGTTGGCCGACATTTTACGCTTTGGCGAGAATATTTTTCGCATATCATAATCTGCAATGAAAGAGATTATCGTCACGTAATGCATTTCCTCTCTCCCGCCTTCCTCTCCCTCTCCCTCTCTCTCTCTCTCTCTCTCTCTCTCTCTCTCTCTCTCTCT